CACACTGAGGATGCAACATCAATAAAACATGGCTTTTATAAAATATGCATAAATACACACACTGCTGAATGTTGGGTATTGACACTGACTGAATGAGGACCAGTAGTTAACAGCAGTTTGCTGCTCTCGTTGTTTATAATCGAGGGCCAATTCATTTGAACAGCAGCAAAGCCATTTATCAATTATTCAGGCCTGCTGTATTCAGGCAGCTGCATGTGTCCTTAGCTGGCAGAGGTAGAAACAAACTGCCTGTCTCTCTCACACACACACTCTCACACATACACACACATACAGTGTGACAAATTTACATCAGTCACACACAAAGCCGTCCCCGTTGCTATTGTTAGGGGATCGGCGGATCAAACGCTCCACGGAGCATTGCTCCAAATACAAGCATCAACTCGGGTCGCTCTGCTGTGTTCTGCTTCTCCGCGAGGACAACAGGCAGCCTATTGTCACAAAGGTAATCATGCTGTAATGCATGTATCAGTGCCACTGCATGACAATATGTATAAAGTGGTAAAAGCAGGATTAGCCCTTTGAGTTGTGCTGTAACCTCAATGCAACCGTCTGATTTTCAGCAGGTCTTAAAACTGAATGTTTGAAATGCCTTCAGGCTGGTGTTGGAGGAGCAGTGGCCAAACTGTGGACAGATCTTAAACATTTCCCAGCATGTACACTGTCTGCAAAAAAGACATGATCACAGAGGAATATGTAATGTGTGCAGAATACTTCCAGTCATTTTCAGATAAAAACATATGAACTCTTTTTTACTGCCTTCTGTAAAATACCATGTGCTGCTGCTGAAAATCAGCTGACGAGAGGCAGATGTTGCTGTTCGCATTCAGTCCTGATTTGATTCACTAGTTTGTGTTGTGTCTTTCACAAACTTCCCAATCTGCAATCTACATTTAGAGTTTCCAAATCTCTGTTTCCCCAAAGTCTCCATGGGGAGGATTCTTTGAGGAGAGGAGAGGAGAGGAGAGGAGAGGAGAGGAGAGGAGAGG